TGCAACAAATAAGTAATATTTTTTCTGAAATATCCTTGTTAATTATGTATTAGAATGAAAACTCTTTAACATGTACAATAATTATAGGGTCTATTTTAAAATAAATAAATAAATGTGAAAAATAAAATAAATTAGAATCTTATATTTATATTTAAGACTAAATTAAATATCTAACTTACTCTTATATTTAGGATTGACAGTAGTGGTATATGCCAAGAGGTCTCCCGTCTCCCCTTAAAATGTTTAAAAATAGAAAAAAGAAAAGGAATCCATAGTATTATTGACAAAGATTGATCCAATCAATATGGAGTTGACACAAATCCTATAAAAATATCAGTTTAATAACCTAACTGTTGACGTGAAGACTTTATTAGGTAATTTGTAAGTTCTGTGTTTGTAAATGCTCTTTGAACGCCATGCCTTAACTTGGTCAAGACTTTATTAGGCACTCAGCTTATTACCTAAATTTTTATAGTAAAAAATAAGTTATATTATTTATAATTTATTAATAGCTCCAATTGTTATGAATTTTACATGAAAAAAACATAATTATATTGGAATATAAATTGAGCTCAGATATATAATTAAGTCATCTAAAATATATACGAATTGTCTCTCATTTAATTATAACTCAAATGACATACAGTAACAGTATTTTAAACTGATCTATACAAAATATTTTTCAAGCAATTGGGTGCAGCCTACATCACAACACGTCTTGAATCGGTAATATATAGCTTTTACATGAGAAAAATAATAATAAGAATAATAACAGGAAATAATGCATAAAATAATAATTGGAGACGCACGCAAAAGAGAAAGGAGCAGAATTATTTGAGCATAACCGACCAACAACTAGCACGAGAGTTTGAAAGAATCTAAACTCTCTCAGGACTCTGTACATTTGGTCGGTTCCCATGAAAAGATATGCACAAACGTTAACGTACGTGTATTATATAAATATTCATTCAACAGTTGGTGAATTAATTAAAACTCTTGTATAAATTTGTACTACTTGAGAGAGAGAGAGAGAGAGTTTATATTATATGCATTATATTATAGTATTATAGAAATTTAATATACTTGTTAGGCAGGAAAATGAGGAGGCTGTTTGTGTTTGGAAGCTTTATAATTCTGTGTTCTTCAAACGTTGAACCAATACCATGGAAACCTAACAATATTCTTTGCCTACCCAACTTCTACGTGTTAGCTGAAAGTCAAATTCTGTCTTCCTCTTTGTGTGTGTTAATTAATACTATCTCCTATCCCTAATATAAAAGCTAGTTGACTAATTTGAGTAGATTAAAAAATTAATTAAGTTAATTATTTGTAATAAATAAGTGTTGTGTTTTCTAAAATATCCTTACTAATCAAATGTATTGGCTAGAACTACCATTAATATAAAGATTACCTTGGAATAAAATAAATAAATATGAGAGACCGAATAGATCGGGGTCTTATATTTAGGACCAAAATAAAAGTCAAACGAGTTCTAATTTTAAAGACAGGAGGTAGTATAATAAATTTCTTAATTCAGGAAGAACTATATTTATTTTGTAAATATCAGAGTGCGATCTTACAGGAGGGACATCCGTAAATAATAAGGAATAATAATGGTATGTTGATGAGTTAAGTGGAAGGAAGCTTCTTGTGGATAAGATCAAGGTTCAAACATTGTGCCTTGTGGATAAAAAATTTACATTTGGAAGAACTATTTTCAATTAAACCTGTCACAAATGAATCGAACATAATAGTATCGGATATTAAGATAATTATGTGCTAGTATAAAAAGAAAAAAAGATAAGGGTTTTGAAGTTCGAATAAAATACTCAAATTCTAAAAAACTGATTGGATAAATTAATTCGTTTACGTTTATTTTATGTATAAATAATGCATGTAATAAGAATTTTTAATCAGTGCCATCTTATTGAAGGTAAAATATATGGTATGGCATTCAAATTCTTATGATTTTAAAATGGATTTTAGTTAATAATTTGAATAAGTCATGTTATACCTAGCCATTAAAGTCAACAAGACTATTAATTTGATAGCGAAAAATAAACAGAACAATAAGCGGGTAAAAAGAAAAGCTAGAACATATATAAATAGGAAGACCTCAGTAAAGAACATAATTACTAAAGAATATAGTGATAACAAAGCTATGTACAATAACAAGTCTTAGGATAGTAAATAACAACTGTTTATTTGTCATCAGGACTTACTAATAATTCTCCGCACATAAATATACATACATGTGGTTTTAGTAAATAAATACAGATTCAATTTTCAAATAGAAGGACAAAAAGTCGAGGAGGTCGGTCAATAAGGTTGACTTGGGGACGGTTGCTGCGGGGGCTTCGGTCCAGGGAATGATGTTGTCTTTGTGTTCCTAAGTCACATTTTTCGGCCCTTCCATTTTCCAATTTCTTCTCTTCGCTTTCAAATTTCAACCCTCTCATCATCAATTCCCTTCTTTTATACGTTTTCTTTGAATATAATTATATATTACTTTCCCCAGATTTTTAGTTCAAGTGTCACTTCCAATTATCTCTTTAATTTTTATTTTGGTGTAATTTGGTGAGAAAACTAATATGCACTTAGTTTTACCAGATTTTTAATTGGTTCATGTAGTTTACTTTCTTTTTATTATATACTTATAGTTTTATATGATTTTTAATCAAATCTTTGTATTTTTAGGTGACTGATAAAAAGGAAAAAATAACTTGCTTGAAAATCAGGTAAACCATAAGGATCAAATGAAAAAAAAAAAAAAAAGTTTCAAAGACCTGATTAAAAATGTGGTAAAATGATAACAACTTGATAAAAAATAAAAAAAATAAACACTACAAGACCGGATTAAAAATTAGATGACTCTATAAAAACTTGTAAATTAATTTTTTTCCTTATTTGATATCGAAATTACAAATAAGGTTAATATGTTTCTTCCTCCTTTATACTATTAAATTGTTTGATAACAAAGTTCATGTAACTCAATAACTCTTTCATAGTTTATGAAGCGTGTATATGCTCTGTGCTCAGGTCTTTAGATCAACTTAAAAAGTAGAAATCGCGTATATGCTCTGTGCTCAGATCATCTAATTTCATTTTGAATGTAGAGGATGCATTATGCATGAGGTGAATGTCCAATAAAAAACCATATTATTTTCTATCACCCTGTTTTTTTTTGGTGAATAATACGAGGCATTTAGCCTATCTTATTGTATCAAAACTGAACGCAGGAAAGCAAAACCCACAAAGTCATTGTACAAGCATCCTCAAACCTGTCAGGGAGGTTCAGCAAAAACCTTCAGCACCCCATCAATACTAAAACTAATATTAGCTAAACAGTCAGCACTATAGTTTGCTTCTCTATATACATGTTGGATCTTGACTTGTGACAGCTTATTCAATTCAACTTTCACAAGTCTTAACAAAAAGCTATATCAGAACTAGCTATTTTGTGAATGAAAATAACTCAAAAACAGAATTATATTTGAGCTCTCAGACCCGTGACGCCACATTGCAATTTAAAAATATCACATCGAATAATTTTCGCCTTTAAAAATTATGTGACTTGTGATGCCATATTGTCTTGCTCATCATCTTATTTTGTGGTATTTGGTAAAGGCAATCATCAATGTGCACTTTTCCCAAAAAAAAAATCATGGAACAATTTTCGCTTTTTCTGGCATTAGTTTAAATGTATATTATCTCCATTTGATCATTAATATAAAAACTAATTGGGAATTTAATTTAGTCTTAAATATAGAATTTTAATCTACTTTATCTCCAATATTTATCTATTTTGCTATCAAATAATTCTATAATTATTGCACATATTAAGGAGTTTCTATCAATGAGTAGTTCAAAAGCACATGATTAATAATGATATTTTAGGGAAGAAAACATCTATTTATTACAAATAATTGACTTAATAATTTTCTTAATCTTTATAAATTAATTATCCAACTCTTATATTAAGAATTGAGATAGTATGATATCTAAGAACTATTTTTGCCATGCTTAAAAAGCAAAGCATTCTATCATGAACCCTGAAGATTGAACCTCAAATTTATGAAGTCTCTTTAACGTAGTAAGGAGAATGAGAAGGACACATTCTTGACCATGCTTCAAAGGAGGAAGCCCAATGGGCTATGTGCAGGCCCATGTCACATTTGGGTCTGGCTTGCCCTGTCTTTTCTTACTATAAAGCACTTATCCCCGATCCAATGTTTTTGTTTGACCTCTATCCCCGATCCACAATGAAACATTCAGTATTAATACCAAGTGGAGGACAGTATAGTAGCACGAACTTGGAAATCATACGATGTTGTAGTCTTGGTAAGAAAAGTTGACAAATCACATGTAATTTTGTGGTTGTTGTAGTCTTAATAAGAAAAGTTCACAAATCACATGTAATTTTCTGGTCTGTGACACCTGGTCAAAATCATAGAGATGAAACACAAGGTGTGCAAATGGTTGACGAGGGAAGCATCCTGGATGGATGCCGGGGATTATCTCATGAATCGGACGGCCACAATTTCTGTCGGTTTAAAAGAGACAACAAAAGGAAATCACACGAAACCCGCCGTGGGCAATCCGACGGCGGCGTAAAAAAATGGTTGGCTAGGATGTAAGTTCTCAGATCAGAGCATCAGATAACTAATTTTTTTTTCCTGACTGGGATTAGACTATTAGAGTATATGAATGTACGGTGCATCGTATAGATTTAACATAGATTGTTCGTTGCCAGCTATATCATATGAACACATTAGCGAATCATATTTAACCCTAACGTAAGGTCCGAAACAGGGGAACGAGGTTATATATAGAGCGATCAAACTTAAATACACACATATATATAGGTTACATACTCAAGCGAGGTAAATATTAATCAGAAAAGAAAAGAAAAGAGAAAGACAAAAGGTGATATGAGGCTCGAGGTTGAGCTACTACAGTAGACAGCAAAAGAAGTAGGGGGCTACGTTCCTGAATCATGATCAGAAAGGGAGGTGCGCGCTTCCAACAGAGACAGAACTGGAAGCTCCGGCAGTGGCGGCGGCGGCGGCGGCGGCGTTCCTCTCGGCGTGACAAAGTTGACGGAGCTTGGTGGGGACATACCAAATGGAGAGACGAGGATGGGCGTTGAAGATGGCATCGATGTCCCAACCCTGACGCGCGGCGATGGCCACAAGCGGCTTATAACAGGCTTGCCTCCACGCGCCCACGTTCTCACCCCTCTCCTTGTACCTCATCCTCAGTTCGTTCGACACCTCCTCGTCTAAACAGTGCAAGGCATAGCAGTGCACGTAATGTCGCATCTTGGGCTTGTTGATGTAGCTCGCCCCTGCCTTCTTCGCGTACCTAAACACCTGGTTTGTCACCTGCACCTTCCACGTGTCAGCTCACAAACCCCTCCCTATCTAACATCTCTATTTCTTATTTCCTTGGAGCTTTCAAGAGACAGTTAATATTGTCGAAATATACATGTTACTAGCTACAACCCACAACCCCATATGGCATTCCTTCCTATGTATATCCCTGTAATGCATATGAAGTCGCGTTAAGATCCATGAGGAGCATGGTTTTAACTCGCGGTTCATTGTGATAAAAGAAGAAGCTGCAGGACCCCACCAGAGGCCCTGTCTTTGTCACGTGTTTCTTGGAACATCTCGCTGTTGTGGCAATGTTAATACGTTGTAGTACCATGACTGAGAATTTGCGAAAAGCTAAATAGACAAAACAGAAAAGGAACAAGATTTGATTTGATTTGAGTTGAGTTGAGTCGGGTCGGGTGGGGGGGGGGATAGGGTGTAGTATGGATTTTGCAGAATTTTTTGGTACCTTGGTGGGGCATTTCTCGCCGCGTTCCTTGGCCATGTTCTGGACTTGGATTAAGAACTCGCGGCATTGTTCGTAGAGGTGGAAGAGATAATCCAGGCCGTTCTTCTTGCCACGTGCCACTTCCCCAGGCTCCGTCACGATGAATGGGTGCTCTCTCTGTCTCTCGCATCCTCCGCTGTTCATTCCTTCTTCGTTCATGTCTTCTGCTTCGCCATCCTCTTCCGGATCGTCGTTCTCGTCGTCATGGTGGTTCTGGCTTGTCTTCATCCTCGACGCCGTCTTCCTTCTCCTCCGCTGCTGCTTCCTCCTCTCCGTCGCCGCAATCACCTCCCACGTGCTGCCTCCCGCCTCCTTCTCTTGTTGCACCACTGGTTCCTCCGACAAACCTATACACACACACACACACACATATATGGATCAACATGCGTTCTCATCATCACGGTCAATAGCAACACCGGCAACTTAATAACTAATTATTTAGTACATTATCTACAGTATTGTTCATAAAATATTAAATTAAATAGTGCTGTTCGTAAGCCGACTTCAACAACAGTAGTTTAATATAACAGTAATATCAACTCGGTTCAATTTTTCTAATTTCTCTTAGCTCTTTATCTTCCAGTTTCTATCTATAATAACTAGGGATGAGAATTACTCAAAGCCTTCTTATTGCCTGACAGTCAGGATATGAAGTTCACTTCCGGCACAATATTTGAATAATTATTTCTTCATAAGATGTTTAAGACGGCTAACGATAGTTTACCAGAAGAGCAGAGTATATAAATAATGCCGAGAAATGAGTGGAAAAGTGGGTTCACCTTCTTGAGAGAGAGCGTCAAGTGCGTTCGTGGTGGTGTCCGCCGAGAGAGGGTTACGACGCCGCAAATCCTCTTCGTCGATACGTCGTCGTTCGGCTCTCACGGCGGCTTTGATACCGTATCGTTCTCCGACGAGGAGATCCCAGCGAAAAATCTGAGAGAGGCTGTTCATCATCTCGTCAAGCTCATCGTCCTTCATGTTGACAAGAGTGCTCACGGTAAACCCAAGCTCCGCTATCTTAGCCGCCGTGTAGTACCGAATCCCATAAGCTTGGAACAACTCATCCAGCCCTCCCACCTCCCTGCTGGAGCACCTCACGACGGCAGCCGAGGTCGGCGGGGGCGGAGCCATCGTGTACTCCAGAAGCGGCGGGCGGTTAAGCGCGGAAGTTGAGAGGATGGTGCGTGGGTCCCACTTGAAAATGCTGGAGGTGAATGTGTCGGGATCCATGGACAGGCAAAAATCGGAAAATGGAAAGCCAGGAAGCGAGAGAAGTACTGTTTGGGGTGGAAGTTCCTGCGTAAAACCCTTAAAAAAGACAGAGCTGGGAGAAGATGAGGCTTGGGTAAATCGCAGAATGCCGAAAATGCCCTTGAGCGTGAGTTTGATTTCCCCAGACTAGCTCAGGAACAGAGTGGGGTCGTTATGGGAAGTTCAGGGATAGTTAACCAGATGAAACCGGGCAGTCACAAATGAACCGAACTAGCTGTTCGTTGTTCTTTTGTCTCCAATGGTCTGAACCGTAGAGAACTAGAGACGTTGTGCTGCGAGTCTGCGACGACACAGCCTGCGGTTAAAGCCATTGCGAGGGATGGAGTACAAGAAGTGCCACGTAAGCTTTGTCTTGGACCTGGGCTGGGTTTGACCACTGATTTGACTGTTAATTATTTTTATTATTCCATTATTTTTTGTGCTCCTCCCTTCAAGTGTGTGCGTGTTATTCCATAATTAGCATCGATTACTCCGCCATTCTGTCAGCGCCACAATAATCTGCCGCTTTCAAAAAGGTCAACCGCTGCCTAAATTAATCCAACACAATCTAGTTCCAGAAAATTAAATGTCTTAATTAAGAGGGACATCACAAAATAGCGGGAATGAGTGTGCCCGTCTCACTCCATCTTAGATTGGGTGAATTATTCTCAAGGTAAACTTATGCTCACCCAGGAGTTGAGATATGGCCATGTCTATAATTTATAAATACTATACCTTTTTCTTTTCAAAAATTTTATCTCATATGTGTATTAGATACATACATTTCACAAATTTTGGAAATTAAGACGTATTATTCCGGTTTATTAATTGTAAGATAGATTCTGTATTTTATTATAACAAAAATATAGCTCATACTTCTTATTTTTTACAAAAATTATTAATTTAATCCACGAATTTTCAATCGTTATATATCAATTCTGATGGTTTATTGAACTAAGAAATCATAGAAATTTGTGTGTTTTCCGGTTAAGAGACTATAAAGAGAAGGTTGCTTGAATGAAGAAACTAGAGAAGTTAAATTGTTTTGTGTTCAAATTTGAGAACTAAATCAACAATACTACCTCCGGTTCTTAATATAAAACTTCACCTGACTTTTATTTTGATCCAAATATAAGACCTCAATTCATTTTGTCTCTTATGTTTATATATTTTTTTAAGCTAGTCTTTTTAATAATGATAGTTCTAATCAATACACCTGATTACTAAGGATATTTTTAAAAAAATAACACCCATTTATTACAAATAACTAATTTAATTTATTTTTTAATCTTTTTAAATTAGTTAACTAATTGTTATAATTAAGACAGGAGGTACTATTTTATTATTCCATTTGGTTCTTATTAGAGGGCGTCTTTTAAAAAGCAAATTCTTTTCAAGTACGGGTCGCCAATAATGTCACTAATTACCTTTTCTCATTTCGATATTGTCAATAATTGAGGTTTAAAATTGAAGGGGCAGCATTGAAAAGACTTATCCACGTAGGACAAAGCTAATCATTTAACTGTTATTTCTTAATATATGAAAATTAATTGGAAGTGTCCTATAATAAGAACAAGAGGAAAAAATATTGATACGAAAACACTGGCCACATAAATTCATCTTTTGTTCTTATAATTTTAATTCAGTGATAACTTAATCTAATTTGACACAAGTAAGTTTTTTTAGTCATAAACTTTGATTTGATACAATTTAATTTTTAGAGTTTAATCATTAAAAACATAGTCCATGTTTTAGAAAATAAAATTATTTATGTCATGAATTTGAAGTTTTAAAGTTTTAAATGATTAAAATTGTAAAAAGTTAGAACCTAAATTTCAATTGTTTAAAATTATACACGACTAACGGATGAATTTTGCATAATACTATTCTGGTTTTTAATATAAGATCTTATTTGATTTTTATTTTGATTTTAATTATAAGAATCTAATCTATTTTGTTTCTCATATTTATATATTTTTTCTAGATAGTCCGTCTGATAATAGCAGTTTTAACTAATAAACTTAATTAGTAAAAATATTTTAAGAAAAATAATACTTATTCATTATAAATAACTAACTTAATTTATTTTTTTAATTTTTTTAATTTAATCAATTAATTTTTATAATTAAGATCGAGGTGATAATGATCATAGCAGTAATAAATTGATAATAAATGATAAATCCCAGGGGGTGGGAGAGAGAAGGATAGGGGGGGTTAGGCTGGTAGATTGACTGTGAAAAGGATCAGACCAAATCTCACTGAGGCGTTGGAGCATGAGCTATGCGACAAGCCAGTACTGCTTCTCCTGCACAACAATTCATCCTTCTGTTTTCTATTTTACATTTAAATATATACATGGATAGGAAATAATGGTCTCTCCTTGTTATTCATTTAATTAAATTAGATTAAATGAATGTAAGAAATGGCAGTGCCCCCCAAGTACAGCGTTTCAGTTGGCCCCTATTGTCTCTGCCCTAAAGCCTGTCCTCCTCCTGTACTTCTCTCATTACTCCGCCCCACCACTTTCCTTCTTTTTCACTCTTCCATTCATTCATTCCCCTTTTATTATTATTATTATTCTTCTCTTGTTTTTGTCTCCTTTCCCTTCTTCTTAATTTTTAGGCTTTCAGGGTTGGTGGCACTAACTAATTTCCGCGCGTAATGATTTAATGATAATTATGAGACTCTTTTCACATACATAGTCAGAAATCAAATTCCAAAGTAGATGTTTAAAAAATCTAGGTAAGTGTCCTGGTTTTAATTTTATAGCATAGTATATAAATCCAAACTGGACCGACTTGTTTAACCTAAAAACATATAAACTGGCCAGGTAATTGGTCTGGTTGACCATGCAAACTAGGGTTAAATTGACTCAGGATGACCCGGTGTAAACCAAACCAATCAGGGGTCAATCCGGTGTTGCTTTTTTAAAAAAAAAATATTGATTCAAAAACTTGTTCTTCTCTCTTAAGCTATTAATAATTATTAGTTTAGTGATTAGTAGATTGTAAGTGAGAATGTTTTGCTATCATATAGCTATTTTAATAGTTTGCTAGGGTTACTGGATTAGTGTATAGTGATTTTTTTAATATGATACTCTACTATGACGTCAATTTGTCAAATAAATTGTAAGTATATCATTATTTTGTTTGTAATTCAAGGTAATAAATTAATACTTAGTTCTTAGACAATATGATAAAAATTTAAATTATTTTTTAATTTTTTAATTTCTTATTGATTTGATCTTCCGGCTGATTCCAATCCGAGCCACTAACTTTTAACCTACTGAACCGGTCTGGTCTTCAGTCCCTAGTTCTATAGGAAAGGCAGGGGATCGTGGAATGAGAATTGGAAAGGGAAAATGAAATAAAGACGAGGATTAGACTTATCATGGGTGTCCACATGCACGTTACTGAGTTCGCATCACAAATGACGTTATCTTATCTCACCCTGCTATGTGACACTCGGTGACACTCAACCCGGAATTGTTCCGTAGAACTCCAGAGAACGGATTAATAACATAACATGCTTCCTCTATATTAATTTCTTAATTAATTGTCACACGTGTACATATATGGTTTAATATAAGGAAAATGACAAAAAAGAACTGTTGAAATTTGAAATGACCAAATGGGTATGAGATATCAATATAGAATTTTGTCAATTCAGTAGAAAGACTAAAACACCCATAAACCTCTTTGAAGATATGAACTGAAAGAAAACACATAATATACCAGAAGAGAGAGAAAGTTGAAAAGACGAAGCTGGAGCAATAGTCGAAATCTGGAAAAAGAAAAAAGGTAAACAATTTTTCCGTTAAAATGCTAGTATCACCTGATTTCTTGACTCGCTTTGTTGCTGCATGTTCGAATGGGGATGGGCTTGTGAGTGTAGAGGGTTTAGATGAAGAATTTGACTAGGATGAGAGAGTGACGCATCGGAAATGAAAAAATGATGACAAACATTAAGCATGAGGTGGTCAGTGTTGTTAAATTCATTAGCGAAATTGTAAAATCTCATATTTAAGTTGTTAATGGAGTAAGTGGGTGTGTGTATGTGTTTTTTGGGTGTTTCGAAAGAAATAGTTTTTATTTTAAATATGTAAATTAAAGATTAATGTTTTAATATTTAATTATGGGGTTACCATTTAAATTCCTTGAATCAATACTTTTTGTTAATGAAACCAACAGTGTTAATAAAAGGTACAATACAGAAAAGATTAGTATGCCCCTGTGCAAGGATGACACACACAAATCGAGAAATGGTCCAATAAAAGGTGCTGACAATATACTTTATAAACTTAAAAGACTAAATTAAAAGTTGATATAAATTTAGAAAATCAAATGTATGTATTAATTACAAAATTATTAATATTATAACAGTATAATAAAATTTAATAAAAGTCTTTTTTACCAAAACTTAAAAAATTAATTTTTTGCACAGTTATAGGTGCTTTTGCACATATGAAAAAAAAAAGAAAAAAAAAAGTGTTCGACGCACTTTGATTAAAAGTTTACAGATTTTTGTACACCTCAATCTTTTTTGTCTTTTTAAGTAAAAGATGTTTTCGTACCTTTATAAAATTAGCATGGACTCCACTGCAAAAAATAATGACCATTGAGCAAATTTAACGATTTTATCATTTTTGCTCTATTTTTACAAGTCCATGAATGCCTTTGCATCTCCTAAAAGCTTACAGTGATGGATGCATTTTGAGTAAAAATTTATATGTATTTTTGCATATTTATACAACCCAATAAATACACACTCCTCCAGTTCTTAATATAGCACCCAATTATTGAATTGGTTTTGATCCTAAATATAAAACCTATTTTTCATATTTATCAATTTTTTTAAATTACCCTTATGAATACTCCTTCAACCATAATCAAATATAAGAGGGAGAGGAGATATTAAAAAAGATGATTATTATGTTTTAGAAAAAAACCGTGTCACATTTCTTATAATTAACTAACTTATCTAAACTTTTTAATCTAATCAAATTAGTTAAATGAGTCTTATATTAAGGATCAGGAAAACATATCTTATTTTGTTCCCGTGAAATATAGATGGTCGTGGGTCTCATGAAGTGAGAACAGAATGATGTTGGTAGTTCGATTCGATTCCCGACATCCTTGCTATTGGCGAACTCAACCTGTTTATGTGAAATCAACTTTTTGTTGTTGTACTTGTACTACTTCTGATTCTAATTGTAAGATCTTATTTATTGATTCTAACTAAAATATTATAATTAAGATCGAAGATAATACCTATAGATCTTCTGCAAACTAAAATTAAAAGAATCTTTGAATTTAGATTCAAATTTAAAACCACATTGTTAATATATATATATATGTATGTATATTACCTCAATTTTTAATATCAAAGGTAGCTGACTATTTTTTATAAATTAAAAAAATTAGTTAAACTAATTATTTGTAATAAATAAGTGTTTTTTTAAATATCCTTATTAATCATGTGTATTAGCTAAAAATATTATTTAATAAAATATTTAACATGTATAACTATTGTAAAGACTATCTTAAAAATAGATAAATATGATAAATAAAATATACTGAGATTTTATATTTAAAATCAAATCAAATGTTAAAATTAACTTTTATACAACCATTCCGGATCAGAGGCAGTATATATATATATAGATGATCTATCATCCCAAGTAATCTTGGCTTGTCATTTGTGCGAGGTTTTGAATATTCTTTTGCAGTGTATGTAATAAAATTTACAATAATTTTTCTAGATTAAAAATTCATTAAATTTAGAAATTTAGTTAACGCTTCTCTCTATAAGATTTATTGAATAAATAGAAAATAACGAGTTAGTAAATGGGTCGTTCAGATAGTTAAGAAATATCAAATTCTAGCATATAGGAGAAAAATTTAGACCATTAGCACAAAGAGGCTCCTGATTTAACAATATAAAATGACAGTACCTCCAATTTTAAATATAATATTCATTTTCCATTAGGAGAGGAGGTAGTATTGTAATTTACAATTAGCACAAAGAGGCTTCTGATTAAGCAATTTGCATTACAAAATCAAATTTATAATTAGGACCGGAACTAAAAAAGTGTTTGGATAAAAACAAAACTCTGATTTTATAAATGTTTTTACAGTATACAAAGTAAATATGTAAAATAATTTGTCTCGATTTATAAAAAAATACTTCTGAAAAATGTTTCTAGAGTTTCCCAAACACATCCTCATGCTATAAATTTGTAGTAATAAAGAGTATTAGTCATATCCTATCAGAGATTCTCATGGCCTCTAAAGAAAAACACGCTTGGGTTACTTTGACATGATTCTAACCGCGTGAATGTTTCGGCCAAAAAAAAAAACTGTGAATGTATATACTAAAATTCACTAATATGAATGTAAATCGATTAAATTAAAAAAATCTGTTAAGTTAGTTATTTATAATAGCTAAGTATTATTTTTTAAAAATATTTTTATTAATTATAGATATATTAGTAATTGTCACAAATACTATTACCTCTAATCCTATATATAAAAATTCATTTGTAAAATATAAATTAAGTTTTATAATTGAATGGAGGTAATACTTTTTAAGAATTGCCTACAAAAAGAGGAGGAAATAAAATAATAAAATGGAGCTTTATCTTCTTTTAAGAAGGGAGTTAAGAAAGCGTCTTGAAGCGAAGAAGAAAACGACACGTAATGTACGAGACGTCTGACTCACCGTCTTGGGTTCTCAGCACAATGGATCCCAACACAGCTCACCCTATTCTCACCCCGGTCCTTTTTGTTTTTTAGGCAATCTGGTCCTTTCTGATCATTACCCTCAGCTCCATTCCTCCAACTGCCTATCTCAAAACTCACACCTCCTTTCTTTTATTTTATTTTTTTAAAATGCAATAAAATATTTATAAGCTACTTTTCAAAATTCCTACCATCACTTCAAATGAGCACCAAATTGGCGCCTAAGATGATAGTTGATAGCCAAGATGGCATTATATGGGTCAATCGTGTTATAAGAGAATTTAGGTGAGTTGGGTTTTGGATTTCACTAGAATTAGGATATGTTTTCATGCTCAAAGTTTACTTATGTAAATAATTATGAATCTGCTATCAACAAGATCTTCTTATTGATAGCAAGATTTAAACTCACAATTTTATAAGTTATAAGTCAACTCTTTACTAATACCAGCTCGTATTGCTATCATTACAGGTACTTATTTTTTTGGGTTTTGATGTAGCAAATTGAAGTCCAGACACTGTAACACTTCCAATCTCCCATATTGCACTGGACTTGGACTCCTCTTAAATGACATGGAGTGAGGTGCCATGGACAACACTCTTTGATGACTGTGTATACCAATTATGACTTGACTGCCATATATGACATCATTTTAATAGCCTGTATTAAGTAACGTTTGTAAAAATGATTTTTATTCCTGCTTGTTTTTACAAACTAAAATTAGAAGAAAAGTTAATTAGTATAATGTATTTATATTTAAATAGACTGTTAAAAAAAAAGTCATCAATTTCAAATGTTTAAATATAAAAAACATCAAAAGTTAAAAAGGTTTTTTTTCAGCTTTAAGATAAATTTTGAGCAAAAGTGAATTTGTTTATGATATTATTCCAAACATAACTTCTTCTTTTTTTTAAATTCCAATCGCAGTTTGAGCCTTCCTAGCATTATCCACAACTGTTTGTAGAATTTAGTTGTCATATTGAGTCTTGGACGCTATATATCTTTTTCTTTGACCTTGACTCGGACGCTCTATAGAAGTCATCGTTACTTTCTGTTCATAAGTTTCTGCCTCACCCAAAAGTGACCTTTGCAAAGATAAGCAATGGCCATGACTGTGAGACGGTTAACTCGGCAAATAAATTTGGGCCTCAGAGAGTGGTCCAAATAAAAATGCCATTAGGCCCATCATCAGCAATAACAGACATTTGAAAAGTAACAGGTTTTAGCCACTAACAAAGAGTTGGTATAATACTACTTCCGGTTTTTAATATAATATCTCATTTGATTTTTATTTTAGTTCTAAATATAAGACTTCAATTTATATATTTATTTATTTTTTTCTAATATAATCATTCTAATAATGATAGTTGTGGCCAATAAATTTGATTAGTAAGGATATATTAGGAAAGACAACACATTTTTATTACAAATAACTAACTTAACTTATTTTTCTAATCTCCTCAAATTATTCAACTAGCTCTTATATTTAGGATTGAAGATAGTAGTATAAGACCCGCCATATCCTTCTACGTTGGCATCTTTATAGAGAGGGAAACCCACAAATTATGTATGTTGTGTATATGCAAGTGTAAAAGGATTTGTTTCAACAATGTTTGCTAATATGTAATGACATAAGTTGGTTGTGTTCGAATTGGATATAAATTACTAAGGAAGTGGGAACCTGATATAAATTGGATATATAAATATGCTGTGGAGGTAATTGATTTTTCATGATAGCATATCAGTGACAGTCGAACCAAACAAAACTGCTGAACAGCTAGGAGGATCACTGATGAAAACGACGGCGACATTGTGGAGGGCAGGCTACGGAGCCAAGAGATTTGCTTCTTCTTCCGAGTCACATAAGTCACTTACCAATGGTTCATTGCGAAAGCTCTTATCCTCTTCTGACTCACACGATTCCTTCACTGGTATTTTCCCTCGGTTTTTTGAAATGTCTGTGTTTTTTTCCCATGCCTATCAATTTCAGAAAGAAAATCTCGTTGAAACAAATCTTCTTCTTGTTTTGAACATATCTCAGATGATCACAAGGGTCTCTCCCGTGTTCTTGAAGCTTGTAGAATTTCTATGGATTTTAGAACTGCGGCTAAAGCCCACACGAGAGTTATCGTACTTGGATATGGAATCTACCCATCTCTTGCGTCATCTCTAATTTCGACGTATGCGCACCTTCGTCACTATCATATTGCCCAGCAAGTTGTAGATTGGGTTTTACGTTCGGGTCCTGATCTGTTCACTATGAATTTAATGATTGAAAGCGTTGTGAAAACTGGGGAGTGCGATATTGCCAAGAAGGTGTTCAACAAAATGCCTGCTCGAAATGTGGTATCATGGAACTCTATGATTGGAGGCTATGTGAAAAACTCACGCTTTAATGATGCCATAAGGCTTTTCAAGGAGATGCTAAGCTCAGAGGTTGAACCTGATGGGTTCACATTTGCTTCCACGATCACCGGATGTGCACGCCTAGGTGCTCTCAGTTATGCGGAATGGGTGCATAATTTGATGATCGAGAAAAGAATAGAACTAAACTATATATTGAGTTCGGCATTGATTGACATGTATGCAAACTGTGGCAGAATCAATGCGGCTATAGAACTTTTTGAAAGCGCCAGGCGTGACGACGTTTCTGTTTGGAACGCAATGATTAATGGGTTGGCATCTCATGGACTTGCTTTGGATGCATTTAAAGTATTTTCAAGGATGAAGACGGAAAACATTTTCCCTGATTCAATTACCTTCATTGGAATTCTTACAGCTTGTAGCCATTGTGGTTTGGTTGAAGAGGGTCGCAGATACTTCAATTTAATGCAGACTTGTTTCTCAATTCGGCCACAATTGGAGCATTATGGAGCCATGGTTGATCTCTTGGGGCGATCCGGTCTCTTAGACGAGGCTCATGCTATTATTAAGGAGATGCCAATGAAGCCGGATGTTGTAATTTGGAGGGCCCTTCTTAGTGCTTGTAGAACACATAGAAAGAAAGAACTAGGCGAAATTGCCATTTCTAATATAACCCGCATAGAGAGTGGAGATTATGTTTTGCTGTCAAATATGTATTGCTCTTTAAACAAGTGGGATGGTTCTGAGAGAGTGAGACACATGATGAGAATGGGAGGAGTTCGGAAAATCCGAGGTAAGAGTTGGATTGAGTTAGGAGGTACCGTTCATCAATTCAAGGCTGCTGATAAGTCACATGCTGAGATAAAAGCAATTTACAGGGTGCTGGAAGGTTTAATCCAAAGGGCTAAGTTGGAAGGTTTCACGCCATTGACTGAACTGGTTTTGATGGATGTTTCTGAAGAGGAAAAGGAGGAAAATTTAAGTTTTCACAGTGAGAAATTGGCATTGGCCTATGGGATCCTGAAAAGTAGTCCAGGAACAGAGATTAGGATTTGGAAAAACCTTCGGATCTGTCAAGACTGTCATAGTTTGATGAAGATTGTGTCAAGGGTGTTGAGCAGAGTAATAATTATGAGAGATCGAATCCGTTTTCACCACTTTGAAGATGGTTTGTGCTCTTGTGGAGACTATTGGTAGCTAAAGAAATATGATTTCACAGAACTGCCTACAAAGTTACGTAATGGTGTTCGGCGAATGAATGCAAAATCCCCGGGCATTTGATGAACGAGAAATTGTCAGAACTTATACCCAAGCTGCAGAATCTTATTTATATGACAATGATGAAGCAGTGAGGCCTGGTTAGTGTGATTTTCCATGCTATGAGGCTGCCTCCAGAGCATCCATCCACTAGCTCGTGGTTATTCCTGCCGTACGTTCACAGCCCAAGTGGGAGACGGCGACAACGAAGACGCATCAAATTGAGTGTTAAAGACAAGTAATTCATTGACTATTAAATTTGGTCACGTGGGTGGTGAACTGAAATCCATTAAATAGCAACTACTATTCAATTGTGCAAAAGTGTACGAAAGAACTTAAAATGTTAATCATGCAACTGGGCTGTTATAATGAACAGAGGAAGAGTGCACCACGTTGGAAGACAATCCCAAGATTATCACTGGCTTCAATTGAAGCTAGCGTTTGTCGCATTGCCAATAACTCCTGGAAGTTAGGGCACAATTCATCAGTTTCCGTATGCGGCTGCCGAGTAGAGTGGAAGATGGAGGAGGTGATTCATTGAAGACGAAGGACTAGTTCATTCGAGATTTCCTTTGTTACAAGTTTGGATTGCATTCATCTTTAATAAAGGTGGACGTATCATCCCATCTCCTTGTACTTTTCAATTTCTACGTAGAAAAGGTTTTTGATACTGATCAATACGGTTTTATTATTACAATGTGAAGGATGATAGGCAGTAGCAAATTGAATATATAGATATATAACTTGATTATCATGTGGAATTACAATTCTATATAGCATTTGATACAGCATTGGGAGCTATCTAATGCAAAAGAAGATAATACAAATCATAAAATCAAGCATATGGTAGTAAATAAATTAGCTATCCTGGATCGGAACTAATGGAAGTTGGCCTCCATATGTCTCTGGGATTTGACTTTCGTCTATTTCTTCCATCAGTGTTGATTTGATCTTACTCTTCTCCACAAAGGTTATCTGCACCCATATTTAATATAATCGTCGTCGTTATCACATACTCGTTAATATTTCTCATACTTAAACTATCCAACCAGTTAAGGATTTCAAATGCTACCTTCTTCTTGGTTTTGTTATCTATGAAGGGGTATATCATCTTCCAAACTGTCATAAATATGGAGGACGCATGCACTATAAACAACTTCCCCAATCTTTCTGGGTAGTAATCCTGGAAAAAAAGAAAGAAAGAAAGAAAATTCAGACAATAATCGGAAGGTCCTGCTGATAAAGAAAAGCTCTGTTCATTCCATAAATATCGGGACATCAGATTGTCTGGATGTTTTGACAAAGTCACTATGTCAGAGCTATCGTTGATAATTAATTATTAATATTAACAAAAACTAGTTATAGCCCATTTGGTATAGTGGTGTGCAATATCTATCATGTTTTTATGATTATTATTCAATATTTGGCCTTTAATATTTTCGTTTTCATATGCAGGAACACAAAAGTTACTTTTTATTCTCAATTATTTTATTCATTTAATTTTTGGTTGGTGCGGAAGACAACCACAGTTACCTGCAAAATAGAAAGAGCGGCTAGATATCCACGAACGTCACTGTTTGCATATCTCCAACCTTTGAGATCTGCTATTGCAACAAACTTTTCTTGTCCCGGTGGTATCCTAATACATCAAAAGATATTCATTATTTCCCAGTATTCTAGCAAGCTTATGCCAAATTCAAAATTTACAATGCAAGTTCAAAAGATAAAATATTACCTTGAACACACTTTCTCAAGAATATAGGTCACCAATCCTGCACCCACAAAAAGTCACTCGTCACTGAGAAATTTGCAGGTGAGTTTGAAACAATGAAATTATATAATGTGGAGGGGGGAAATACAAAGAAGCATACGTCTGAATTCATCGACGCCATCTGGGTTTTGATAATGTTTTGCACCAAAGGCGACTATTATTGGTCGTCCTAACTTATCGACTCCTTGCACGTACACCTTCTCGTGGGCTAACTCATTGGGAATCTCTGATTCAGATACGAAGCCATTAGGAACAAATGATCTTCTCCATTTCAAAAACTTGAGAAACATTGCTGAAGCCTTCTCTATATCTAGATCACGAGCTCGCAAGAATCTCCTGATCATCAAATCATCTGCTTCCTGAATATTATTTTACCCATAAAGTTTTGTACTTTATCCACCACCGTTCCTAGCTAAATGTTTAAAAGCATTTAAATTCTCAGTTCCTTGCAAAAAATATATAAGCACCAGACTAATTAATATTAATTAATCAAATTTCTGGAAATAAGTGCCCATCACATTCAAGTGCCGATCAATTAATACTGAGAAAGACTACTCGGGGAAGACTTCAGTGTTCTCGTCGATGCGCCTGCTCTCTTCGAAGAAATTGGTTAGATTTCACCGGAAAAATGATTAGTTGATCCTCTCCGACCGCGGCCGAAAACTCGAGAAAAAAATAAGGGGGGTCCCCGGGGATGTCCCAGAAAATTGGAAAGAGACTGAGAAAGATGAAAGGGCTAAAATTATTGAAAACCGAATCAAATGGAACTGGCAGTATAAGCTACCAAGCCGTGAAAGGACAATATGAGCATCGTAAGAAATGCATGATACTAACATATGGTTTTAACTTTGAATAAACTGGGAAGAACGAGTTCTGAATGAAGTAATGATCGTGCCGATTTCGGAAAACTCGAACCCTATATATTTCTTTGTATGTGAGAATTCATACAATGACGACGGCAATAAAGTCAGAATTTCGTATTGATCTTGGAAACTGGTAGCATAAAGCAGAAGGGGGAGAGGAAATGGCTACCTTAGCGGAGGGATCCTTGGCTTCAACGGCGGCTCTCATGAGAGGGATCTTGGTGAGCTCTGCTTGGGTGCTGTTTTCTACACCGTCTGCGTCTGAAACTTGTGCTTCCGCTTCTGCTTCCTCATATTTAGTTGAAGAGGCCGAATCTGCTTCGGACTCCGATGCGGATGATTTGTGAGGACTCTTGTATGCTTTCTGTGCCTCCATTGCTGAATCTCTGCTTCCACAAGCTGTCTGGTGTTCGAACCGCGGAGGAAGGGAGAGAATCCTCAAGAGGTTGAGATGGTGAAATGTGAGAAGGGGAAATCTGGAAGTTGCATATACCAAAGCCGGCCTTTAAATAAAACGCATTTGGTGCTGGTGTGGTAGGTTACGAACTTACCAATTACAGAAACATGACTTTCTGGTTTCCCTCTTGACCATGGATGCACACAGGTTTGATTTTGACGTGTAAAAGCATTCGTAAGACTTTAGTTTTAGTTTGTTCTAAAACTACTACTATTGTTTTAACTTTCCGCTTTGAAACTTTCAAATTCAATGCTTGGATGATTGTTTCAAACTCACTTGTGTACATGAAATTTGTGCTGTTATCATCTTTTTTCTTAAAGAATTAAAAGGTGTCAGCTATCCTAAATTTTTTGTGGGCATCATTAGCTATCTTAAATTTAGGCAGTGTCACTCTTTTTTTTTTTTTTTTTCCTTCCTTAAATGACTTGAAGGCAGTGTGCCAGTGTCGCCCTTGGAATATTATTAAGAAAGGGTCATCGTTCAATAAAACCAAGGAGAATTACTATAAATCCCAAATAAAAAATATAATTATTAAAAAATCTTAATACTAACACAACAGTCTATAATGATAAGTTTTAATATAGAAAATAACAATTTCTCACTTGTTATTAGAATTTTTTGGTATTTTTTTCTTTTAAGATCTTATGTTAATTCTCCTTTGAAAATAGTTGAACTTTTACCCTAGAAAAATAAATAAATACCTTATAAAAATTGATCGGAAAATTACCACAGAAAAAAAAGAATACAAATTGATTGGAAGAATTACATAGAGAAAACCTTAAAAATTATAATTAAATATCTTATAAAAATTAACGTCAACTGATTTCTAAAAATTATTAAAAAATTATCTTTGTTTTCTACCCTAATATTAATAGGAATCTGATTCTTATTCTGATTCATGATTTGTTGTCGTTGCTTTTTGTGAAATGGGTTTGAATTACTTCAATCGTTGCAAGTCTGGGGAGTTTTTTCCCCCCTTAATAGGTAGAGAAAAATAGGAGCAAAGAAAATTTATTATTTTTGTGAAAATTTTTCTCAATATTTTATAATTTTCCTTTTATCCAAGCTAAAACCAATGATAAGTAATGGTATTAGCAATGATTTAATGGTGGAGAATATTGAAACATTTTTTTTCAAGATTAAGGATTTAAAATTCTCAAGAATAAAAATGCTCTTTAATTAGCCTCAATAATTAATACATCAAAACGTGATGTGTTTGGGGAACAAAAGGATGCAGCTATTGGAAATAAATATTAAATATTAATTTTTTTTTTCTATATTCAGAATGTCCGTGTCATTGCAATATGCTAATTTAGTACTACCTCCGGTCCTAATTATAAGACCCAGTTGACTAATTTGAAGAGATTAAGGAAAGGAATTAAATTAGTTATTTGTAATAAATAGGTGTTGTCTTTCCTAAAATATCCTCACTAATCAACTATATTGGCTAGAACTATAATTATTAAAAGACTACCTTAGGAAAAAAATACATAAATATAAGAGACAAAGTGGATTGGGGTCTTATATTTAGGACCAAAATAAAATCAAACAGGGTTTTATATTAAGGACCGGAGGTAGTATCAAATTTTACAATAGAGATCTTATCAACGAAGCGGGCATATTTCGTTGTCACGGAGTTCCCAACCAACAACTAACTAATTGATGGCTTATTTATGTCTGCTAAAATTTAAAAGGGAATGATAATTACATTAAAAACTATGTAACAAAATAAATATCAAATGAGTGCATGTTTACTACTTAAACCTTTTTTTCTGGTGAAACTACTACTTGAACTTTTGAATCTACTATTCAAAATTTATATTTATAACTTAAAAATTTTTATTGTACATTAATATTTTTATATAGTCATCAATCAAATATTTTTTTGGCCAGAGTCATCAATCAAATATTAAAACCTAATTCACTCGTGTAGCATTCATTAAAAAAGTTCCATAACGATTCTGATGTGACAAATTCGGTCAGCAACCAAACGCCATAAATACAAGAGAAAAAGACCCGAAAAGAAAAAAACAAAAACTGAAAATTGCCAAATTCCAATTCACGTAGTTAACAGTTCAAAATATCAGAAAAGAAAGTGGTGTTTAATATGGTACTTTTTAAATACAATTAAATGATTAAAATGTTTTTGTTTCAAACTTGTGATTACCAGTATATTTTTTATTATGTACTATTCAACATTTATCATTACCAGTTCACAATTGGTTAATAAATAACTTGTCATCACCAATATATTTCTTATTATTTGGTATTTCGTACTTGTCATTGTCAGTTCACAACTTGTTAACAAACTTTTTGAAATAAAAACATTTTAGTCATTTAATTATATTTGTAAAATATCAGATCAGATACCACTTCTTCTCCTAAAATTTTGAAGTGTTAGCTGCCTGAATTAGAATTTCAGAATTTCCAAATTTCTTTTGTCATTTTCCCTAAATACAATGTTGATTTTTTTCTTCGTTTTCTCTGCCAAAATCCTGGCCAAGAAAGGGGGAAAAAAATCTCTTTATAGAATTTTAGGAAAAATAACAAAAAAATATCTATTGAATTTTAAAAAGACAAATAAGTCATGCTGACTATTCTTATAATGATTTTTATCTCTCAAAATCTGTTAAAATTATCTATTTGTCATGTTTAAATTCAGTACGTATTTTTCTATTATTTTTTCTAAAATTTAATGCCGGAAAGGTAATATAGTATTTGCAAAAATGTCTCGACCTTAATTTCTAGTTCCTGCAGACCGAAATGTGTCAATATTTTTTTTCATCAAATTGAATCAATAAACTAATTGAAGTTTTTAAGAAGTATAATATGCAAGGAGCCAAGGAATTATTCTTTTTTTAAAATTTATTTCAATGTGTTACACTTGCACGCATGCTAAACTCGCATTAAAATATCCAATTGTCAATAAAAATCACTGGAGAATTTTTTCTAAAAAAATCTTTTGGCGTTAAAAGGATGTGTTCGAATGATGTGAAAAAAAAAGAAAGAGAATACGGTCAAATCATAAAAATAAATAACCACCCACATACCATCTATCCACCTCCATCATCCTCTTGTAAACAAAAGGAGGATTCTATGCTAAGATTTTTGTCTCCAATTTTTGTTGTTGCCAAGCATAGCTATTTTTTTTATTAGAGACAATTCTGTTCAAAACACGGATAATAAATCTGAGTACTTCTTCCAGTAAAAATTCTAACCTTGATTCCTCACGTTACGAGGAACTAACCCTTTCTATTATTTTTAATTTTATTGGTTTTTTAATTTGTCTCCAACTTGTTTATGTGTGATGTTTGCTCTTGAGTCGTTTCACTGTTGTTTTAGGTTTGTGGTGTATGGAGGGTTAACGTCTCATAACTTTTATTATGCTCCTCCAATCCTAAATATAAGATTCATTTTATAATATAAATTATATTATAAAATGGGTCTTATAGCTATAACAGAGGAATACTTTTTAACTTGTGTTTAATAAATACTTTTTTTTGGGGTTCTGCTTACACGTGAGTAGATCATGCCTACTAATTTCACCCATATTAATTGCCACCAAACCCTTTAAATAGAAAGGGCGATGACTTATTGATGAGGACTGTTGCCAACCTAGCGTCTGCCGTGTTCGCTGGCAAGCAGTTAATGAAAAAAACAAACTCGATCAATGTGGTACGTGCATGAAAACATCAATGTGGTACTAATTTCACCCATATTAATTGCCCAACCCACCCACTAAATACTTGGTCATGAACTCACAGCTCTTCTCTATGATGTGCCATTGGATTAAGCGGTTTTTTCCATTTTTAGTCCTATATATAACTTATCATTTTTACAATAAAATTGATCCTTTTTATGTGTTACACTCTATATGTATATGTTTAAAACTTGGATTATTTTTTTTTTTACTTTCAACCCTGTTGATTACGTGTTTCTAACGGCGCATTGGCGTATAATTTTTCTCTCCTTTTCTCATGCATTGGTCTTGTATTTCTTTCTCATTCATTTTCTTTTATTTACTTCCTCCGCAACTAAGAGTATATTTGAAAATAAATATATTTCGTATGTATTTATTATATTCAACCGATTTTATATCTACAAATTCCTTCTAGCCCACAATATCAACCACTTTAACTTTTTTTTTTTGGCCAACGCACCTTAACTAATTTTTAAGAACCAATAAACGATAATTATTTCATTAAATCTGTTTTAAATTGAGAGTTTTTTCAACTTTATTCTTAACTGAAGTTATAAATAGGAGAGGAAAATTAAAAAAAATCCGATTTAAGCATTAATTGCAAGAATAAAATTAATAAATAACTATTAATTTTTTTCCAAATAACTTATGGGCCTGTTTGCTTTAGTGTTTCCATGAAAAAAAAAAAAGTAACTTATCGACTCAAAACGCACAATGAAACAGATTGAATGAAACTGGGACCATTTGTAACGGGGTTAAAATAGTTTAATTTTTGGATACAAAGTCACCATAAGTCATAAGTAAAAATTTAGAGTTTATCACTTTTGAAAAGTGGAGAGAGAAACTGAAAAGGAAGCTGGATCCCATTCTTTTTAAAGAATTTATCTTAAATCACATTATATTGTCTTGCTTATATTCAAACTTGTACTTATATTCTTACTAGTACAAAATATAACTAATTTGTAAGTATTAAAAAATTTAATTTAATTAATTATATGTAATAAATGGATGTTGTTTTTCATAAAATACTCCCATAAATCATGTGCATTAAAAGCTATCTCTTAATAAAAACTTGCTAACATGTGTAATCACTATAACGTAAGGATTACTTATGAGCAAAATGGATAAATATTAGAAACAAAATAGATTAATATATTATATTCATAACCAAATTGAATTTCTCCTTACCAAAAAAAAAATTGAATTTCTAACTAATTCTTATATTAAGGACCGGAGATAATATTATTTAATAAAAAAATTCATTTTACTACTTTATTATTTTTCATTTTATATTTACATAAATCATGCATAGTAAATTATCCAATTAATTATATAATATTATTTGGTTAAAAATTTTCACATTATTATGATTTCTAATTTAAATATATTTTATTCATTAAAGATAATTTATTCTTATTATAATAATTTAAAATTATTATATT